ATGCAGTATCCCTAGGAATCATGAGCCTTGCATTGACTTTGTTTCAACCAGTAATCACGGACAAAAGACATGCCCCCTAGACAATTTTCACTCCTATAAGTAATGTGGGTCACCATCCATCTTATCTATAGATTAAACTGAATTTGGGTCTAAACTAGTAATCATGTATTGCCAACATGACTAAAAATATCTATAAGCCATTTGTAGGCTAACTAGATCTTAGTCTGCATAGCCAATTATAGGAGCAACATGTTATTCCAACTATCCTTAGATTTTTCTAAGCCCGGTCCTTCTCCTGTTTGCTTGCGTTCAAAATCACATTATAATACCACTTGTTAAGGAGAAAGTTAGTCCAAACCGGGAGCTAATTAATAGGCTTTAAATAAAGGTTAAAAATCGATTCAACCCCAAAAGTTTTAAGTAGTTAAATTCTAGACTAACAATGTAATCATGCTTCACATCTAAAAACGCCTGAATCTTTACCTGAGCTGTTACGGTTATATCAAGAAACTGATCTGAGAAGGGTAGAGAACTCGAGCTGATGACACTGAGATGAAATTTCTCAATCTCACTGAGTGCCTTGAGTAGCATTCCTCGTCGATTCTTGCAATGAATCTTGATAAGGACGATCTTCGCTGCTATTTTTGCCTCGATATTGAGATGGGTATCAGGTGAGGGAGGGTCATCGCCACTTTTGTCATCACTAATGAAGGGCTGGGATTTTTCAGATGATACAAATATAGACTTCACCGTTTCTTTCGCTGCCTGCTCTTCGAGGGTCTTGAGTTTCTGCACCATTTCTTTAATGTAATCAATTGTATCCTTGAGAATAGAAGCCTTGTCTCTCTGTAGTAGAAATATTATGAAGTTTAGGCAACTTTTAAAACAGGGTTAATTGTAGATAGGCACCCTATACTATAACCAAATTGTAGATAGACTCCCTGTGGTATTATTTGTGTGGATATACACCCTAAGTGAACTTTCGTTTACTCTTTGATCTTTTGAGAGTAGAAAAATTCACTCAAAAGGATTTACCCATACGTGGGCAAATAGTACAGGGGATTTATTAGCACAGAAACGACTAAGGCTGTCTAATCCACAATTGGGCAGTACTAGAGGAGGTCTATCTGCAATTAACCCTTCAAATTATTCAAATGAAACATTGCGCATCTGAACACAATAGTGAGAAAATTACCCTCTTCATGCCAGGAATAATTTTGTACAGCGTAAACAAATGCTCGGATATCTTCTCCCTCCTCTTCCTCTCGGCAATTACATGCTCTTGATTACCAGTCGCACTCCGCTTCACTTTTGCATTATTCGACACCTTGATCACAGCTTCCACCGTCTTCAATCTTTCATCTGAACACGGGTGTCCAAAAGACAGAATGCCCATGTTTGTAGAAGAAAAGCTCCAGTTCTTATCAGGCTCAGGAAATTTCTCTGTAGGCTCCTCAATGTTGGCAGGAGTCAAGGGAGCCTCAAAGCAAGGGGAGCAGGAGTTGTTACTCTCTGAGGATAGTGTTTCTTGAAAACAATCCCAGATGTTTGTAAAAGAGAAATCTTGGTTCAGAGAGCTTAACTCCCATTCATCATTGAAATTGTGGTCCTCTATTTCCTAGTTTGGAAAAAATAAAAATAAACAATCATATCAATTATATTGCGTAAGACTCAATTGAATTCTAGAAAGCAAAAAAAGAACTTTAGATTTGGCCATATCTAAACTTACTGCGTCCGTAAACAAATCAGCTTCTGATAATTCCATGGAGGAAATGGTGGCGATGGATTTGGCAGTAAGACAAATTAATCCCTGTACATGTAGTGTTAGAGTACTAGTGTAAAATCATCCATATCGTCCAACATAGATTTCCTACTTTATAGCTATCTTATTTATTTTTACTTGTATTCACTACTTAAAACACCATAAAATTAAAATCGGACACCACTAAGAAGGACTAAAGCTATAAATTTATTAATACAGATTCAAAATACAACCATGACAAGTTAATGGGGACATCACTTACACAAAATTCTAACTCTGCTGGTGACCGTGTGCGTACAAGTGTCTTAAGTTTCAGCGTATAAAAATGACTCTCAACCTGAAAGAACAAGTTAAGAGTATAAAATTATCTCTCAAATCTTACAATAGCTTCAAAGTTTTGGCATATAGTGCAAAACCTTTAGCATGTTGTACATAAAAATAGGAAATTACCATAGAACATCAAATTGTACAACAGGCAGTGCTGTTCAACTACTCGTGGGACCTACCTATATATTGTCATTTTAGCGTGTGTGAGCTTTATTTTCAGAATTAAGAGAATGTTCTCATATTTGGAGAAAAGAAAATATCATATGAAGAAAATGCCTTGAAAATCAACAGAAACACTGTCAAACTTGTAAAAAAAAATTTGTATGTATAGTGATAAATAAAGGAAGGGCATCCTGCTTGTATGAGGGAGAAGAATGTCTTCTTAAACATATAAAGGAGCAAAAAAATAAAAAATAAAAAAATAATAAAAGGCCGAGAGTAAGAAGAAACTAGCAGAGGGGGGGGGGGCGGGGGGGGGGGGGGGAGTGTTACCTTACTCTTTTCCTTCAGTGTTTTTTCCCTACTATGCACTCGACAACTGAAATGAGCATAACAACTCCAGGGGAATGATAATCTGAAGCACATTTACTTAGTATGAATCAATAATTCAGTAAATTTTAGCAAACTAAAAGAAATTTAAATAGAGAGGAATAAGAAAGCTCACTTTTTAACCCAATCCTAGAGTTAGTGCTCTTCCCTTGGGAGGAAGATCAGCCCCCGATTTATATAGGAGAGTTATAATGAGTTTGGCGTTAATTAATAATGGACACGGGTCATTATCAAATCATTATGGTAGCTTGATGCAGTGGTCAAGGGTATAATATTATATTATTAATACGTATAGAGATTTATATAATTGATCTGCCACCAGTATTGGAGGAACGGAGGCGAAGACATACATCCGTGTATAATTGATCTGCCACCAGAGTTGATGCTTGTGTTCAGTACAGTAAGATGGTTAGCGGATCAAATTTTTAACTTGTGCAACAATTAGGTAGTGGAATTTGAACTCTATTTTGCTCTAATATGATGTTAAAATATGTTAAAATAAATGAATCTTAGAGTGTTTTTATGAAAAGATATCATTTAATGATTGGATTCCATAGATGAAAATTAAAATGTGTTTAATAAGTAGTATGTGAGTTTTAGTCTCATATTGACTAATTGAATGCATTTTAGTTGGTCCAAATTAACACACTTGTTATATATGGTATAACAAAGGTGTTAATATTATACACTTGTGTTGGTATATAAGCCAGTAGGCTCGTGCGTGCGGTCTAGTGTGTGCGGTCAAGCGCGTGTGCTATAAGCTGTTAAGTATTGGAGGTTCTCGCGAACTGAAGAACTAGTCGTCGTGTTCACAAGAAGAGAGTGATTCGGCACTTCTGTAAAGTATTTCAAACTTAAAGTGTATTTAATATGATGCTTCTAACTTTTTGCTTTTTTTCTTTCTTTTCTATATGGTAGGGCTGAGCATGGTTCGGTCCAAACCGAAAAAACCGACCGAACCGACCCGAAAAAATCGGTTTTATGAGTAGGACGGTTCGGGTCAGTTTGAAAACTTTTTAACTCGAACCGACCCGAACCGACCGAATATAGTGCAATACTACCCATTCTGATCTCAAACCTACCCGACCCGTCCCCAAAGAGTCAAAGACTCAAACCCTAAACTCATTTTCTGAATCATTATGGGTTGAAAATAATATCATTATATCAGTGTTTAATGCTTCATAATCTCCTACTTTGTTGATATCTTTTTTTCTTTAACACAGTTTGTTGTTTGATAAGAAGTTTGATAAAGTTAGAACCGAACAAACCGAACCGAACCGTACCGAACCGACTTGCAATAGTTTGGTTCGGTTTTAAATTATAGACGGTTCGGTTCGGTTGTTCAAATTTTGGTAAAAACCGAACCGAACTGACCGTTGCACACCCCTACTATATGGTTTGTTCTATAGTATTTTGGATTTGTTTTTATGCTTGTTTTTCCCAACAAAATCTTTGTGGCCATGTCAAGGCTCTTGAAGAATGATGGAGATTGAGTTTTGTAACTTTCTACTCGATTATTTTCTACTCAAATATTATGGAATTACTTTGATTTTGTTTATATTGTAACGAAGCTGTGGTTTAAACTTTGTATCTAACATACTACAGCATGTAGTGTGTTCTTTTTTACGGATCGAAATTTTAACTCGTGCAACAATTAGCTAGTGGGATTTGAACTCTGATATGTTCTTAATACTATGTTAAAATCGTTGTCACCATTTCAAGACTCTTGGAGAATGATCTTGTAAATTTCTACTCAAATACTATGGAATTACCTTGATTTTATTTATATTGCAAGGAAGGTGTGGTTTAAATTCGAGACATGTCATAATCACGACCCTCCCTCCACCAGGTGAAGCTTCGTACTCCTGCTTTCAACGTATCAAGAATCAAGAACTTTGTACCTAATAAAGCGTATCTTGAGATGTTGACGTATTGATATAGATTTTAACAATGAGCGAACAAAAAGCGGTATCCAAACAATCTGGAAGAAAGGATTCAGGCCTCGAAATGACTTGAAACAATGTGAAAAAGGAGGATTCCGGCCCCGAAGCTTTTCATAGACTGTTGATTACTGAATGAGACATCCCGATCGTAGGTCCACAAATGAACCTCATTTGCTACGCGTCGTCCGGTCCGGATTCGCACTAAAACGTGTTGTTTGTAAAAGTTCTTTTACGAGAGTTGCAGTGCTCTCCCTGTTAGTATTTGTTTGTTTTAAAAAAAAACAAGATAGTCCCACATTGAATTTTAAATATTTTTTTAGAGGTTTAAAAGCATTGATTAATGCTTATTGAGCTTTGAATAATGGATCAAAGTATAAGCTTCTATACCCGCGTGCGGGTAGCGCGATTTTGACGCACTTAGCACTTTGCACGCTGCTGCTTAAATGTTCTATTTTTATAATATATATAATTATATATTGAATATATTATTTCTAATGTTATTTTGAATTTTAAAAATTATGAAAAGACAAGTGACTGTTGAAAAGTGGCAGTTTGCTACAAGGGGTGTTTTGAAAGTTATGACTGTTGGAAGCACATTTTCAAACCTATAAATAGTTTATGTTTTCAGATATCTAAAAAACAATTCTTTTCTGAATCTTTTCTATCAAAAATATCTGTAATATTACAAACTTGTTTCACAACGAATTAAGGAAAATTCCAGATTTGCTTACTGGAATTTCCATTTTTTGTTGTATCCTGTGAAGAAAATTTTACATTAATCCGAAGCAACTTTGAATATCAAGTGGGGGCGAATATTTTCTTTAAGGAAAGTGTTTCATGCCTCAGAATTTCTGTTTTCTTCATTTTTAAAACTAACACTCCCTTACATAAAGAGCACGAAGATATAATTGAAATAATAATTTTTTATGGATTAGAACAATAAAAAAGAGGAATATTTAGTACATGATTTTTTTAAATAATCAGTGAAAATTATATAATTTTCATAGAAATTAGTGGAGAACACAGCTACGTCCGACCCCCCCCCCCCCTTTCATTTTTCACTGCCAATTCAAATTATAAAAGGAATATAAGAACGAATGTTGTACACCATTCTTATAATGCAATCGGTACCATCCAAAAATATATGTCTTCACACACACATATATATAAAACTTCATCTAATTAGGATCAATGCTCTCATAAAAAATTGGGATCCTGATCTTAATATAAAACATAAATTCTTCTAAGTAATCAAGAAAAAAAAATGCACTACTAACTAACACCCAAGAAATGAGCCTAAAGTTCAACTAAGATTAAAAAAAAAATATTTTCACAACCACAACGTGCATAATCGATGAGATGAATTTTGTGATGGTTTTCAATGTGCTCATTTTGCTAGTGATCTAAGATACTAATACCCTGCTCTTATCTGTTTCTGGGCAAAGGTCCGTCCAAGGCTTCTTCGGACCTCACTTGGGTCCACTTCTAATCACATAGGCGGATATTTTTTACTAGTGAAAATTATGGTTTACAATTTTTTTTCCCCTTGCAACCTTGAACGTTGAAAGGGTTTTTCTCACAACCCATAAACTTAATTAAGAGGATTTCTCTAATATTTTGAAAGTGATCTTTGAACACAGTGAAATAATTGTATTGGGAACTAAACTGCGCGCGATGAAGTAATCGAAAGATCCCATTAGGTATTAAAAATTTCATAGATTGCTCCTAAGATCCGCTGAAAAGATTCGAGATGGGTAATATTATGATATTCTGTAAGTAATGCGGACTAAAATCCAAAGAACAGAATTTTTTTTAATTTAGCCATAAAAAATAGGGACGCTCGTACAAGACATGCAAATACTTGTATTGGGAACTATGCTGCGATATCATCGTGGCTACTTAAAATAATCGAGAAATCCGACACATATTAAATATTTTCATAAACTGTTCCTCAGATCTGCTGAAAAGATTCGAGATGTGTTTTGTCTGATGTCAATCAGAGGGGTTCACGGACCGCGTGTACATTATTAAATTGAATAAAATCTGCATACGCGCACCTACCCGCTAAAAATACCGGTTTCAGAATCTCCAAAAATAAGGGTATAGGTGCAACTTTAAAAAGCAAGTGTTCAATCATCCAGAGCAAACGCATTAAAAAGGCAATAAAATTTTGGAAGTTAGTAAATGCTGGGGTCTCTTCTCGTGCTAGATGCCGGGATAATCGAAAAGTATAAACTTAAAAAGTATTTTTGATTAAAGAAAAAATATCAACTAGTCTCTTCACGTGGTGGATGATGGGATGATTCAAAAGTTTACGTCTCATTTGGTACGTGGGAATGGACTCAAATAAGAATGAAATGAAAGAATGAATGCAATGGAATTAATGTGAGAATGGAATAGTCATTCTCACGCTTGGTTGTAAGTTATAAAATGAAGTGGGAATGAACCTATTTTAAAATTGTATATTTTATTTATTCTCATTTAAGTGGGAATGCTCATTCCCTATCATTTCATTGGGAATGTTCATTGCCACATAAAATGGGAATTGATGAGAAATGAGAATGGGCATTCCAATTTCAAAAAAGAGGATGTGTTTGGTAGGAAGGAATGAGAAGTGAGAATTAGGGGTGTCCAAAAAGCCCGCCGGCACCGGGGCCGGAGGAGCCAGGCCGGTCGTGGCCCGGAGCGCAGCCCGGTCCGGGCGCCTATTTGGTGCCCGGCCGGGCCGCCCGCGCCGGAATAGTAGTTTTGTATTTTTTTTATATGTATTATATATGTATAATATATGTATATATAAATATATATAATATGTATAATATATGTATATATTATAATATATGTATATATAATATATTTCTATATATGTATTATATGTCATATGTGTGTTATATATATACTCTCTCTAGTATATAAGTATATATAAGTATACTCTCTCTTATATATAAGTATATATATGTATAAGTATTATCTAGATTTTTCATCTATATTTATAAGTTATATATATAAGAATACTCTCTTTTATATATGTATAATGTATGTATGTATGTATATATATACTCTCTCTCTTAGTATATATGTATATATAAGTATACTCTCTCTTATATATGTATACTCTCTCTTATATAAGTATATATTAGTATACACTCTCTTATATATGTATAATATATGTGTATATATATATATACTAATATACTCTCTCTCTTAGTATATATGTATA